ACCCATCCATGTGGTATTGTCGCCTTGTGCACGATATTCCCCAGCTTTCGGGGTGACTCCGGTTGCTGTATTGCTGTGCATCTCCGATCAAGTACACCTACACGTCCGCTTGTCTCAGCGTGTCCGTTCCTGTCATGTTCATCCTGTCTCATCAAAAAGATTACAGAGACATTACAGATCACGAGAGAGCGGGAGGCGACGGGGTCAAGCAAGCGAGATGAACACACAGCACGGGGCCAAACCGGATGGATCGGTTGGAGTGCAAGGGTCTACCATACTCGTGGAACTCTCAGATGATGGCCACAGCAGCTCAGGTGCTTGCCGTGCAGGCGTCCTATCCGAACAGATCAGCAACTCGAGCAACACTGACGACCTGCGGCGAGTCTATTCGAGGATCCTGGAAATCAATTTGAATTTTTTCAGCGATTTTTTGAGAGAATGTAGGTTGTGCTTGACCGCCCTCTGAAGGCGCAGTCACGAGAACAAAGAGGCGCAATTCACCACACGGTCTGCATAGCGACATATCGAAAGTGTAGCAGCTGGTTTGGGCGGAATCAGCCATGACTCCGGGCCGTGAGCCTGACCCACAAATCCACGTGTAGCTCTCCCGCTCACCCCCTCTCCCATCTCCTGGTCCTGGTCTGTTCGGTGAGGTATGCAGCTTACACTGGTTCCCGTGCCGGTTCGCGACCGGAACCGTCAGCGAATCACAGTAGTTATTGACTGCACAGCTGCATGCTGCATGTGCTAATGTGCTTGAGTGTGCTCGGTGCCAGCGTGCCAGCTGCTCTATGTACATTGGTCATTGTTGTTGAGCTTCTGACCTCCGAACTCCGAACTCCGGTGGTGTGATGGGTGAGGACGGGCTGGGTGATGTGATGTGCCTCTCTGCCGGTCGTGCTTTCCGTCCCGCGTGCTCCACAGCCTTCCGCACCAAGTTGTCCACTTACTTGTCCACTTGGGTCGGCCTTCTGCCGTCTGCTGTGTCGTGCTCCTGCTCGTGCCTACTTCTGTACGGACAAGGCTTGCTGCAAACCCTGCCCGGCGACTTCACACCCCATGAAAAGGAGGCAAGCCTGTGGAGTGGACCATCAAGCATGTTACGTGTACAGCAGGTGAGGCACGGGGTGGAACTCGGGCCTGTTTCCGCTGTCTTGCTGTCTTTTTGTGTCCTGTTGACGGAGCATTTTCACCATCACCCGCCCTGTTGGACTTCCTGCACCAGCCCACCTAGAGCCTTGAGTCTCTTGTACAGCTGTATTGCATTGTTGTGCCTGGTGCTGGTATGCGGCAGAGCTTTTCGTTCTGAAGACATGTGAACCAACCGTGGTTACACCACAGAGGAACCCTCGGCAGTGTAGACTAGTCTATTTACCTAGACCACAGTATACAGTATTCTACATAGACTACATATTGTATGGTCGTACTTCAACTTTCGACTTTCTACTCGCGGGCAGCACCAGCCATGCGGATTGTCACTTCACCTCGACCGGGGAGAGAAAAAGGGTGTCATATGCACCATATGTATGTCTGCTGCACTTGATCGGTGATATTGTGATGACGTGCTATTTCTTGCTGCGTGGTTGGTCGTTCATTTTGTTCGGCCTCGTTTGTCGGGTGGGAGCGAGCGGTGGAGTTGCTGGGCAGTACATCAAATCGCCTCTATCGCTATCGATCTCATTTGTCGGACATGTCACCTACGAAGTCAGACGGCTTGCGGATTGAGCCTCTCTCGCCCCTGTCCACTCCCCTGGCAAATATTCACTGAGAAAAGGATGGTAGACAATACGGTAGTTGAAGAGCACGCGGCGGCGGCTGTCTCTGTTTCAAGGGGAGAGAGAGGGGAGTGCGTGGTCAGTGATCGAAATGCACCAACACTTTGAGATGCTCCCCCACCCCTACGGTGGGACGATTGGGAGACAGACGTGGTTCTACGCTACAAAGCGCTTATTCTGGTATGTTTGGTCAGATGATTGATCCAAACGTATTGGAACGGCAGTGACTCTGCCCCTCCCGCGGTATGACGAGACCGGCCGGTGACTTGAATCTCAACAAAAGTAGGCTACATCAATACAACACAACACCAGTTGCAGGAGCTTTTGTTGGGGTTTGTTATGTGTACGGCGGTGGCACTTCCGGTCCCGTGGGATTGGTCCCCTGTACGCCCCTACGTTATTGTTGCTGACTTGACATGCAGGGGTGATGAAGTTCCTTGTTCGTGTTGCGGCCACCGCCTGACGCGTCCTTGAAACCCAACAACGGTTCGAACGCTTCCAGCTCCGCGACCTTGCGCTCGGCCTCCTCGGCAATCTCGTCCACCGCGGCGGACGCCACTCTAGCCGCCTCTTCGTTACACAGCCTAGAGAGTGTTGACGCGAGAATAATTGCAGTGGCTCTCGGCGTAGGCGTTCATGAATCCCAACAGGGATTCGAACGACTCTACCTCAGCCTGCTGGACACTCTTTTCGAGATCGATGAGCGCGGCCGACTCCACTCTAGCCCCCTCTTCGTGTTCCACGCGCATGGACACTCTCTGGGCTGTCTCACGAAGAGGCGGGTAGAGTGGCGTCAGCCGCGCTCATCGAGTTCGAAAAGCTCAGCAGGATAAGGTGGAGGCGTTCGAATCCCTGTTGCGATTCGAGTAGGGCTACGCCGAATGCCCCTGCAACTCTTCTCGCGTGAGCATTTTCTGAGCTGTACACATGTTCTTCGCGTGCTGGTGCTTGGCCTTTTGTGTGAAGTCACTACCTCTTGGTTTTTTCGCACTTATTCGTGTAGATGAGATCAGACCTTGTTCTTCTTCCATGGTCATATTTCGTTCGATGTGCGTGTAGGACCAACCGATGTTTCTGTCATTTTGGTTTCCGAGAACCATGCCGGAGGAAGTAGTAAAGCACGTTAGGCAAACCATGCGGTCTGCTTCTCTTGTTCCCATGCTTGGGTACTGGTTGCTTTGCGCCGCCGCTATGATACAATATAGTCAGGCGTGTTCTTGCGCTTGCAGTAGTTACCACCTCACGCACGTCTCTCCAGCATCGCTCAATCGCTCATATCGCCCAACGTGATGGCACTCAATCATCGCTCTGTCATAATACTGCTGTGATAACCAGGCTGGTTCTCCCTGCCCTCCCCCCCCCCCGCCCCCCACTTTCTCCGTCCCTCCCCTACGTTTTATCTACAGGAGAGCAAGAGTGCGGGATACATAGCGACGAAGCGGACCTCCTAACCCTAACACTTTTCCTCGTGCGGCCGAAGGTCGTGTAAGAGGGCTTCGAGACACAAGTGGATTACCCCTTCAACAACAAGCTGCAAGAGAATAAATCACTGGATACGCGTGTGCTTGTGAGTAGCCGTTGATGTTTGCTGCTGCTGCTTGACCCAGGATGTGTTGTGGCGTGAGGCTGGTGTGATATGCGTAGTGATAAGCGTCGTGACGTGCGTTGATAGCTACGGCTGTTTGGCTGTATCGAGGAGCGTAAGTACCAGTGTTGTGCACATCAGGAATCTTCATCGTTTGAGCCTCCCATCGTAACGCCTAGACGTGCGTTCGCGTGAGATGCCCGAGGAAAAATCGCCTGTGGTGTGGGGTACGTTCGTTTTGAGGTATCGATCCAGTGGAGGGAATTGTCGGGAGTCTACGCATGCGTGTACTAGAATTTGTTGAGGTTGTTCCTTGGTTTGATCTCCGCGTTGTAAATAGTCTCTTCTCGTTAAGAGTCACGGCTTGCTCGGAAACCGTAAATACGTTCGTGCGGGACTTCGAACACCTGTCTTTGCATTTGCAAGCTCTGTACGTTGTGGTTGAAACGTTGAAACATTGCCGTCGTGTAACGAGGAGCACTTTGGGAGGGAGGGGTTGTGATGAAACATGAAGGCCATGTAATTCTGTCACGGTAGAAGTGAGTGTCGCGTTGGCTACGAAGGCATTAATTAACGAGTGCGAGAGATACATAGCTGTTGGGTGATCACTGCTGTGGGTAGGGATGAGAATGTGTGCCGTTCCGCCATACGTTCTAGTGTTAAGTGTTTGACCTTGGTCACGGTCGCGTGCTGGCACACATTCATACGGGTACGTTGGTCCTCAAAGTTCCATACTTGCACACGTGTACATTTGTATGTTGAGGTATCGTGTTTGGTGGTGCTGTGCGTGGCTTAGCCAAAGGGATGCTTTTTTTCGTTGTTTTTTATGCCAGGTGGAACAGATACTTACCCAAGTCGAGAAACCCTGGTTTGATTGATGAGTTTTTTTGTGGAACTATGGCATGGATTATTTGTTCTGCGCTACCGAGGCGGAGGTCTAAGGTTGAAATGTTGTCACTTTCGCAACAGGCGGTGTGCTATGAGCATCGATCTCTGTTGGTAGCACGCGGTTGTTCTCGCGAAGCAAGATGTGTAAACGTGTGAACAGGCACGGCAATGCTTACCGAACCGGCCTCTGGGGCCCTTCTGAGCCAAGAGGGGCATAGAGAGGGAAAAACACCCGTTTCGCGTTTTTGTCGTCAGCACTGCCAGAACAGTCTTCAAAATGGCCATCACTTTTCGTGACCTAAACGCTATCGTGTGGTCAGAAAGGAACCGCCATCGTTTTCGACACCACCACAACCTTTCCGCGTGACCGTTTGGTTGCGTGCCGATGGATGGGTCTGGTTCCATCCATAAATCGGCATGTTGTTCCTCCGGGTGAGATGCTGTGACAATTGCCAAGAACAGACGACTAGGCAAGCATTCCGACCACATGGTTCAGTATAATACAAAAAATACCAGGGACACTTGGGGAGGGGTGCAGCTGTGCTACCAGCATCGGACATACCGTAGCTTCGCAGAAGTTTGTCGAGGGTGGCAGAGTGTTATTCTAGCAGGTACCCATTACGGAACAGTCACGGAAGTTACTTCAAATACGTTACTTCATTCTATTACTACGAGTGTTGAACATGTAAATAATACATATGTACATGCCGCTAGCCTGTAACGGAGAGCCAGCAAGCGTCGACCCCCCCCCCCCCCTCCCCCCCGAGACGGCACACAAGTTACTCCAACACAAACATCCATGCCCGCTTTGTGTTTCTCGCGAGAGATAAAAATACACCTTACATAAACTCCCCAAAATGAGCACCATACGTTGTGGCCCACCATGGCCTGTGCCAAGGGCAGCCGTGTCAAGAACTCGCTCGATTTTGCAAGGCCTAGGGGTAACGCACTCCACCTACGGACGGTCTGAAAAGGAATCCTACAACAAAAAGTACGGTCACAAACATGAGGCATGCACATAAATTCCAATGAAGCTCGTTCAAGTGCTGTTCACCAGTATGCACGTATTGGTTTACTCTACAAGTCATGGAGAGAGCAAAATTCAAGTCACCGGCCGGCCTCGTCATACCGCGGGAGGGGCAGAGGCAGTACCGCACTACCATTCCTATCTCAATGGATCAGTCATTTCCACTTGCAGCTGACGTCAAAAAGCTTCTCAGAACCATCAGCAACCCACGTTATCTCCTGGCCCAGAGCTTGTCAGCGCCCACCTGGGACAAGGTTGCGGACATTGTTCAGTGATCGAAGCGCGCAGGAGAGAGGGGGGGCAGGAAGCAGATAAGAGAGTTGCCTTCAAATGCCAAATGCAAGAAGCCAGCAAGAGGGTTCCCGGATGCAGTGGGGAGCAAGACGTCCACAAAGGAAGTACATTTGCCCATCCGCCCGCGTGTACAGAAGAATTGGGCGGAGGGGACCAGCTGGTCGACCACACCGGAGCATGTCTCCCAATCGTCCCACCGTACTTGGCAATCCGAAAAGGTGTAAGAAGGAGAGGTCACCAACTACCTGCACATGTAGTAAGCCAACCAGCCCCACAAGCGGACCAGACTCTTCTGGCTACGGAGGCGTGACTACATTCGAGAACATCAAACACGCCTGTCTGTTGCGCCATTCGATCCCACTTGCCTGTGGGGCGGCATCATCCTGAGCGTAGACAAGCCTAGGGCAGCAACCATAACGTCACCATCTCGTCCGGGATAGTGCCACCTGCCACCGCATCAAGAGATACGAGAAAATAAGGAAAACGAAAACGGAGTCAATCTGCCGACGTATCTCTCACTTTTCTTCACTTAGGTCAAAGCGAAACCAATCATATCTAGCATGTGTTCTGTACGGCTCAGCTAGCTGTTGCGTTCAGTTTTCCCAGGCACGCGAAGAGACCGTCAGTCATTGCGCATCTAAAAGGTGATTTTTTTATGACTTTGCGGAGGACGTTGCGTAGGTTACCGGGTACCACGATTGACCACAACCCCAACTGTACCTCGCGGATGAATGGTCCAGAGAGAATTCAGAGCAGGCGGTCTTGAAACGCTTACGCGCGCTGCCTTCCTCTGCACACAATGATGACGTCGTGCGGGTCTGCTTACGAGTGCCGTGGAAATGAACGAGGTCAAGAACGCGAACGAGGGGATGGGTCGTGGTAGGTATGGGAAGGGAGGGTACGGGGGAATATCGCATTTTTGAGTTGCCTTAGACCTTTTTATTTGCCACTGACCACGCACGTATCCCTCCCTCAACATGCGAAACCGTTCCCACGACTAACAGAGACAGACACCGTCAACGTTCTGCAATTGCCGGATGCTCTTCACACGTGTCTATGATTCAGTACACAATGATCTTATGCCGAGGGGTGGTGGACAGGGGCATGAGGGGCTCAATATCATATTGCGCCGCAGCGGTCTGGTTGTGAATACTGTCGGCGCTCAAGGGTGCCTGTACTCTACATGTTCCAAGAGCACTATCGCCATGAGGGAGGGAGGAGACACTCGTGTGCGAGGAGGGAGTCAACGATGAATCGAACGCTCACGCTCTATTCAGTGCAGCACTGCACGACGGAGAGGGCAAGACACGGCACGAATCAATTGGCTTACCCCCTTGCTGTCTGGCTTGGCGAAGCCGATGTCCTCCGTCGCCTGGTCAAGGCCACCGGTGGAAGCCACGTCCCGCTTGAGCACAACACCGAGGGTCTGGGAAGACCCCTCTCTTCGCTGCTCGTCCGAGCAGGGGGCCGGTGAAGGCTGTGGCCGAATGCTATCGACGGTCGCATGTGACCTTCTTTCCGCCCCCTCCTCTGATTCGTGAATCTCTTGCAGCTTTTCCTCCTGGGGTGAGCGTGCGTGCGGAGCGAATGAAGCGCGTGGGTTGTGGAACTAGAGAGGAGACAGCTAAAACCTTTGCAAGTCTTTGGTGTTGACCTTTGACCATGCAATTGGTCCCTTGCCGCTGGAATCAGCATGCGACACAGGAAACGCCATAGCGATAGGCCATAACCCGTACCAGTAGGTATATACCTTAGGCTGTACTCTCTAAATAACGTCCGCTTGGTCCTTCCTAAAGGTGTGGTAGGTATGCGTGAACGGGGAGAGAGCAAACAGAGCAGAGAGCCAAATTCTCGTCACACAGTAGTAATTTCGTCAACCAGTCAACTGCTATCGCACCTTGTCTGCCGCCGCTGCTACCTCCTCTCCCTCCTCCGAGCTACAGCCACCCCCAGCAACACCGCCAGTTCCACCAGTTGCAGCGCCACCAGCACCTTCCGTCACCCTCGGCAGCAAGCCCGACAAGAGAAGCTTGCTGCACTCGCTGCACCGTCTCGCCGCACCCTCGAGCTTTTGCTCCTTAGGGGGGTTCATCGCCGCCGCCACCCTTGCCGGAAGCACGCGCGAGCACTTGCTGGACCACAAGACTGCGTTGCCTCCGGCCACACCAAGCTTCGCAGACACGAGAGGCCCCTCGTTCGTACCGTCACCGACGGCACGCAGGCTAGAAGAAGAGTTGCAACCCACGGTCACGCCCGCTTGTCCATCGAGGGAGGAGAAGCCGGCCATACCGGCCATGGGTGCGGGGGTAGCGGGAGCTGTGGTGACGTCCACGTCCTGCGTTCGGTGCTGCTTCCGGAATCCCTCGCAGAGCGAGACCGAGCTCACCGCTGCAAGCATCTGTCATGACGCAAAGGCACGGGAATACAGAGAGGCGTGAGTGAGATTCATCAGGGTTCGGTGCAGAACCGTACAACACGAGCCCCCACCCCATTGCAACGACGTTGTGCCATGCTGCTTAGTCCAGGCCAAGCACGTTTGCTGTAATGGACGTCCCATGATATGCACCGGTTCACGACGGTAGAAGTAGTACCCGGCCTGGCGTAACGTCAATGCCTTTCTGGTCAACTTCACAAACAATGGACAACCTCTCGTGTAGGTGCAACTGTACCAGCACACGGGCGCATTGCGACGGCGAAGACACGCATTCTGCTGACCGAGAAACACACAAGCTCGAACCAAAGCCTCCACTTTGAGCTAGCCTACGCTAGAGAGCCACAGACGAGCCAAACGAAAACAGCAATGTCAACAGCTAAACACCAAGGAACGTTGACGTTCAAGAAGAAGACGCGCCTCATGTATGATGAGGGGGCCACCGCCACACCCGCATTCGCCCAAGGCGGGATTGGGCTGGGCCACAGGTAACACACAACCACTATAATACTTTTGAGCCTCACACCTTGCACAAGCCTGCGGGGTTGGAGAAGCTGCCAACGTCCAAGGTTGGCTTGAAGGCCGCAAAGGATGTGCAGTCCACCCCGTTCACCCGGACTCCCGCGACCTCGCACACCTGAGCGTAGGAGGGTTTGGTAATGTGGACCTGGATCATCGGAAACACAGCCGGGGGGGGGGGGGAGATGGAGAGTTTGAGATCGGAAAATATATCAAGCGAGGTGTGTCCAAACGAGCACACGCCTACTCTTGTTGCGGCCGTTTACGCCTCATTTTCTCTAAGGAAACAAGAGGCGTGCGCTTGATGGCGCGTGCTTGCGAAGAACGGGCGAGGCGCAAGGGTGAGCTAAAGAACAAGTTCCCTGAACCTCGACGGGAAACACCAGACAAAAACAATCCCTACACAAATATAACCTAGGCATCCGTAGCAGCTAGAACCAATCCAAGCACCGTTCCCCTGCAGGGGGAGGTGCTCACAGGGAGAGGTGCGTAAGAGTTGCAGCTATACTCATTTCAAAAGTTGCAGCAGTGTACCGAGGCTGCCTACGCAGCAACACCGAGTCGTGGTAATCTGGAGTATTCTACGATGTTGGCATGCATGCGGCGGTGCGCTGTGTATCCTTCACCTCTACGTTCGCCCCTCGACCACACGACGCGAAAGTGCGGCAGCCGTCCTTCTCTGGCGCCACGCACGTCCATCTCCATCCGGCGTGGAACAACCTGGACCCTCCGCCGTCGCCGTCCAAACGGGACCAATCGAACGGTCTGCCTTCCAAGGCGAATCGCAACGCCCCGCACCCCTTCACCATGCTCACGCCGTAGTATCTCGAAAGCCTCGGATCCTAGCCGTGAAAGAGAACCGTGCCAAGAAACAGCAAGCGGCCGCGTAGCATTGGAACCTTGAAACCGGCGTGATGGCAAACGAATAGCGACGCAAAAGCTGTATCTAGCGGCTGGTCGTGAGTCGAGGGAGAGGGGAAGGTCGTTGCCGAGTCTCCACGGACGCCTCTCTTGATCGTGGTGTGAAATCTCTTGTGAAGTGGCGGGGGGGGGGGGGGGGGTGGATACGTGCTCTATTTCTTCAACAACGCTGCACACCATCAAGCTCAGACGCATGTTCTTGCGACGACCCATGCACAAACAAGCCTACATTAAACATCGTGCCTCTGGTGACAAACGGTATGTATGATAGACACCACTTGAGGCGACACCAAACGGAAGAAGCCTCCATTCCTTTTTCGCATCTCACGCAACCAACGCCTCCGCCAAGCGGCCGAGTCGGCGTCAGCCACACCTACCTCCGCCATCTGCCGCAGGTACAGCGACACCTGCTTGGTGGACAAGTCGACCGGACCCAGCCCCCTCTCCTCGCACCAACCCTCCACGAGCCCCCTCCAGTACTCGGCGTCTCCGACGCGACGGTCCGCCCCCGTGTACCTGGCCAGGAAGTTGTAGAGAGGCTGCTTGGCGTTTGTGTGGGCGGTGGTCCGCAGATCCCCCAGGCCCACGACGGTGGCGTCGAAGCTCGCTTGTCGTCTGGCCGGGGAAGCGGCGGTAGTGGCAGCAGTGCAGCAGCGGCAGGTAGCAGCACCGGCGCACGCCGGCTGCGCGGGGGGCGGGTGCGGGGGGCGGCAGGGGGGAGAATGAGAGGGGGAGCGGTAGGTATGCATATATATCATTACAGGTTTTAAAGGTCGAAATGTAAACGGAGAACTGCACCGATGTTTCCTCTGCCTCCTCTTAAGGGTGAACCCGTTTGTTTCTTAGCGTCATCTGACCGTGACCCTTGGGACATCTGATAGCCTTTTGTCTCTCTTCTTCGATCACATCATCGTCACTCAAAAATCATTGTTGTACACCCTGTCCCAGAGAAGATTTCTCTCTATTGTCACATCTCCCCCTGGGCATGGCGTGTCATCTGGTTGGTGATCAACAGAAATCAATACGCTGATGACGCACGTCGTTGTTTGCTTAGATTTCCGGCTTGATATCATGGTCCGAGTCAAATGCTAGCCAACGTCCAAGCCAAGAGGATGAGCAAGGAGACTGTTCTAGTCATGTTGGGAGTCACCATACATGGCAGTAATCTTCAGTACCCAGCCGGTTTCCCTCCATTCACTGCAAAGACTCCAGATTCCCGTTCGACTGAGGTTACATGTCGAATAGGTCTTTTTGTGTTCGCATTCATGTTTCCTAATACTGCTGTACATGAACTTTGAGGAGCCGTTGAACCGAATGAGCGTGTGTTGTGTGTTGTTTGCCAAATCTCCGGGGGGGGGGAGATAAAGATCTTTGGACGATATTCCTTTGTTCCCATTTGTTGTTATTCCCACAAAAGACGAAGAAATAACAAGGAAGGGCAGAATCCAGTCGCTTTTTTCTCCCACTCACTCTTACAAAGACTGACTTCGACACATCCCCTCTTCGCTACGATACTACTCTGTCTGCTGTCGTGTGCATGTGGTATTATCTCGAACGGGTACGGCATCTCTCCGTTGTTTGTATGCATAGGCAGATGATACGTGAATCAAAAACAACGGTGTTTGTTTGGGTTCTGAGAAGAGACTGGACAATGTTCATTCATGCTCGGAACAGTTCTAATGGCAGCTCGTGCGCAAATCTAATACTGTATGCCGGTATGCATAGCGGGTATGCATACGCGTCTAGCAAGTGCCGTGGAGCCGCGCCGGCACGAAGCCCCAGAGCACTTGTAGATAGCCACACAATACAGCACTCCTGGCACAAAGCAGCTATAAAGTACAGAGTACGAGTAGCGGGGTTGGTTTTGGTCGTTAGATGGAGCGGCACAGCAAACTGCTGTACACTGCTGTACTGCGGTGTATGAATGTGTTTTTATTATTCCTTGATGTACAACGGAACGATATTCTATGTAGACTAGATCTAAAGAGATGAATCGCTGTACAATCCGATACAAAAGTATGGAGTGAGGATGTGAGGATAGAGTGGCGCCATAGGCCATTACAGGCAGGCTCCTCAAGCAGTGTGTACACACGCGACCTACAGCGCTAGATTTTCGCACACTAGCCTGCTGTGTACGTAGCGGATGATACGATAGATCTACGATAATATCCTTACCTCTAGTGCCGGTGACGGCGCCTTCCGCGACAGCGTATTAGTACGTTGACGCCCCCCAGCCGAGCGCCTTATGATCATCATCCCTTCGTTCACTCTCGAACTGCATCTGCTCTTCTTATGCATATTTGTACGCATAATAGGTTGTTGTTTCCCTAAGCCTCGAGCGATTGCGCCCGCCGGCGGGCTTGCGCGGAGAACGGCGCATTGGAGCAGCACGGACGCGGACGGAAAAGATGCCGGCCCAACTTTGGCGCGGCTGATACTGCTGGGGCTGCTGCCTGGGTACCCCGGCACGAGCGATGCATTCCTCGTTGGTGGCCATTTCAAGGCAGGAATGGCGGTGCAAGTAGTAGTGCTGATTCGTCCACCGTTGAGGTAGCGTTGGTGCTGGTCCATCTGTGCTCGCATAGTGTGAAAGTCGAAGAGGAGTTTCGGCGGGGGGCAAGATGTGCTCATGTACAACACAGCAGTGAGAATATTTGATGACAATTGTTTGCCAGCAGCAACCATTCGTACTTTCAAGGAAAGAGCCGCGGGATGATGTCTCATATGCTGCATATGATTTGAGTGCAAAAATTGCTGTTGCGCGTCTCTCGCCAGCGCTTGCTGGCCAACATGTGGCGAAAGACTTCAATACGACACCCATGTCCCCCTTGTGCTATGTTGTTTCTCGTTTCTATGTCACCGACACGCAAGGTGGGTGAGGTGGAGGTTGGAGGGTGGGCAAAATCATGAGAGCGGCCTGCCCATAGCAGACCACCAGACTACAGCACGCTCGTGTCATTCATTGTTTGTGGTCCGTCATGTCATCGCTATTTTCGTCGGCTGATGGTTGACGACCACAACTTGAACTGACCGATGTAAATGTGAAATAACCTCATTGAAGTGCTGTCTGTCTTGGTGCAACCCCCCGTGCTATGCAGTTGTCCCCTTGAAGGGTTTTCTCGCTTCTGTCTCTTCATTCGCCGGCCACAGGCTTGTGTGAGTTGAAGTAGATTAGCCAGCAGCAGCAGCAGTATCAGCTGGGTCTGCTACGTATGTAAAATAATTATTCCTCACACCCAACGGCCGATCGCTTTTTTTGTGCTTACCATGGACCGTCGTTGTGGGTGGTTTTGAGTCGTGTGTGTGCCCCGGTCAGCTTCGCCCTCTCTCCCTCTCCCCGCCGTGTGGTGTTGTAGGTGGTGGACAAGGTACGTGTGTGTGCGGTGTGTGGGAAATCCTGGTGGCAGGGCAAAAGTTGGGAGGCGTCCGATGTCACACATATCATCATCATCGGATGGATCATGGGATCACATTGGGTGCCGACTGCTGACTTGTAGAAAAGATCAGCCAATCAAATGTCAGCATTTTTTCCGAGATGTACACCCGTTGGGACAGCGGGCAAACCTTCCATGCACCGCCGCGCCACAACAGAAATACAAATATGGGCGAGATTTCAGCAGGATCGAGAGGTATAGAGCTCACCTCATGGACTGGCCCGTGGTAGCTGCAACGCCTAGTCCGAGATGAACAGTCACCAGGTGTGCAACGGGTACGCATAGAGGACAGACAGAGATAGAGCTGCGGGCAGAAATGAACACATAAGTCAGTCTACTGCTGCGGGGGAGCTTTGCCACACATCGTCATTCCACTGCTGCCGCTGTCGCGGGCATGGGGTCGCGCTCACCATCGATCAGCCTCGTGGAATCCACCATGGAACTGACGCAACGATCGAACCACGCATTGCTTCCGGCGCAGGCCGCTGCTGTTCCCGTGTGAGCTCTGTGTGCAGTGGTGCAATCTACCGTATGTATGTGTAAATGCGCCATACCGCCATACGGACCACCTTCGAATTACGCCGCCCCGCGCCCCGCAGAATCTGGTGCAGAGTGCAGAGTTCCGTGCACAGCGGCAGTGATTCTCGGCGGCACGAAGTAAGTACACAGCATCTACGCTGTACGATCCACAACCTTGCTATGCACGCGAATTGGTGCTCAGCTTATTTCGATATCGATACACACATGGTACTCTCAGTTCCCGAGCGGAATACCTACCCTGCTGCATACATATCTGACACCTGTATGGCATCACGACCAAAGACATCTATTATACTACACACCCGTTAGTTCCCGGGCCGTGTCTGTGTCCGATGTTGCCGTTTGTTTGCGACGCTAGCGAGATCAAGGAGTGGGTTTTGTGTCACCTCTCCAACATCACTGCCCACCACAACCCAACTACAGCAGCTACTGTGTAGTCTAATGTCTCCCTATAACCTGTGCCGCAACCAAAGGTCCTGACGAGCACACCGGTGGCGGAGCTGTGCGATAACCCCCCACCAGCATCGAGCGGTGCCGTTCGCGACCCTAGGAGGAGGAGGCGGAGGAGGTACCTACAGGACGCCGGCCTACCATCGGCAACCGCGGGGGACACCACCGACGATGCGGAAACCCCTTACGGTTCAGTTTTCGGAGGGGGAGGAGGAGAAGCAGGACGACACTGGGTCATGAACGAGCGAGCTGCCTCAGACGATGACGACGTCCTCCTCGTTGACGGCGGTGGCTCCGCTGCCTGTTGGCTCTGCAGCGGCGGTCGTCGGAGAACACGCCGGGAAAGCGACCGCCGCCGCTGCTGCTGCTTCGGCGATGGACTCGGTCCAAGCCTCGACGCTCGAGCCTCGTCGTGCCGTCGTCCCACCGACCAGTGTGATGACGGCCCTCCTCGTCGGTGTTGTTCCACCACCGTCGACTCGGAGACTACTACTACTACTACCAGCGGAGAGCGCACGGCGGCGGCGGCGGGATCAAGCGAGGACGGCGCCGGTGGCGAGCACGAGCAGCTCGGTGGCGCCGGTGGGTCGTGCCTGTCGCGGGCGGCGATCGAAGCGTGGGAGGCCGCGGAGACTTGGGCCTCCGCTGTTGCGGCGGCGACGGGCGCGGTGGCGGGAGGAGGGGATGGAGCCAGCGTGCAGACGGCGGAGGAGACCTTCGCTGGCCGTACGGATAGGGAGACGACGCGGCAGGGAGGGAGGAGGACGACACCAATGGAGCCCGGGCGCCGTTGCTGCCGGGCTGTTGATGAGGGGAGGCCGGAGCGGCACCAAAGCAATGCCCGTCGCCGCTGCTGCTCTCTTGCGGGAAGTGCCGCCGGGGTTTGCCAGAGGGCGGTCCACCGGCGCGATAGCGTGCTGCTGCCGTGCGGCAGCTCTTCGACGGCGGCACCGAGGGGGTTTTGCCTGTGCGCCGTCCACCGGCGGGACAGCGTTCTGTGCGGCGGCGGCGGCGGTGGCGGGGAGCGGCAAACGGATGCCGCCCATTCCTTTGTCGGAGGAGGAGGAGGAGGAGGCGTTCACCCCCCTCATGGTTCCCCGCCTCAAAGGACGAGCACGTGGGATGAGTCCGAAAGGAGAAAGGGACCTCCGTCTTTGGCCGCTGAGGCAGCCTGTCCCCCGGTGGTCGTGGGTGCGGCGGCGGCGATCGTGCTTTGGAGGATCGAGCGGGGGAGTAGGCTGTGGAGTGAGCGCGCACGGAGGGCGGGGCTGGCGGCGCTGAGGGCCCATCGCACGAGGGCGGGGCTACGGGATGCGAGACACGCGACGGCCGTTTCGCATTGCGACATCGTGCTACAGGTTCGGGGCTTGAGGGGCTTGGGTGCTCGGGTTAGGAGGAAGAGGGATCGGCGGAAGGCTCCTTTCGCTGCCGCGGCTGCTGCAGCCGCTAGGGTCGCTGATACCTATGCTCGAGCGCAGCAGATGCAAAGGGTTGTGACCATGCTGAAAAGGTGAGACTTGTTTGTATTGCGCTCGGAGGTCCAAGCGGTGGAGGACGTTTCCACCTCTAATGGGAGAAAATGATACGTACCGGTTTACTCGGCCAAACAATACACGTGACTCAGCCAAGCACATTTGGTCAGTATGACCATCGCTTAGCACAACCCGATCGGCAACGTTCGCATTCGGACGATGAGCGGAATTGGGGGTGTCGATGTCTGTTGTTTGTCGAGCTCACGATCCACCCGTCCTCCCAGGGCAAGTCACACACCTTCTTTCGCCAGCACACGCATACTGTTAGTTGTCTCGGAGTATCGCACCGTTTTTGAGCGAGAACAGAGTGCTGGTTTTGACGGATTTGTTCGTGCTACTGGTATTAATGGCACGTTTATTGCAGCACGGCAGCGGTATAGCCAGCCCGAAGCCTCATGTTTGCTATTATATAGCGCTTTTGCTCTTTTGCCACTGCTGTTGCGTATGTCCCCGGGCTTCGCGAGCAGGAACTGGCAGGCGCGCATGGCCCTGCGATCGCGAGACGATCTAGCTGACCTGCACTTCGCTGAGTGGCGGGTACCCTACGCCGTGCAGGAGTGGCGACAGCGGGCTCGAGCTTCGAGGTGCGAAAACAGGCGCTTTCTCTTTCCTGTTTCAAGAAAAATATTGTAATATTCATGCCATCACGGAAATACGGCATTTCCGTTCGAGATGTTACCACAGTCGAAGGTGAGGGTACCAACTTGCCCGATCCTTCAGCACGGACATGACCCACTTGACCCTTTTGGGTGCGCCTGCCCTATGACGTGTTTCCACGTACCGCGCATTGGTGTTGTTGTCGTTGTGTTTTGGTTGGCTGATGGCCTCTAGAGCTACGGTCCGGTCCCTCGAAGTGCCATTTTTTTCCGGAATCATCCCACTTAGTTGTAGATGCCGGGGTAAGTCGCACACGGAGCAATGGGTACACCACCGGGCGGTTGGGTCAGTGTTCAAGTTTTGCCTCGTTCGTTACTTTCTTGGGGTCTGTTCACCCGTGTGATGTGTTCGCCTCGATGCCGGGTCCATCCGTCAAACGGAGGGCAGCTGCGGAGCTTTGCACGTTCAGCACACATGCTGAATGGCATGGGTTGGATTGTGTGCCCTCTGTCTGTCTTGGAGAAGTGTCAGTGCTGCGGGACCTCCTCCCCTTTTGCAGCAACCTTGCCCTTCATGCCCGCCTCCGGTCCCCGCTTCCCTTCGCCTGCGGCGGTCGCCATATCAAACCCTCCCGTCTCGAAGGTTGTGCCGAGATTCACAGAATATCGCCACGAGCAAGTGGAGGTCGAGAGCACTCCCGGCGGCCCTGGCTCGGTGGGCCGGGCACTCCCTCGGCGACAAGGAGAAGAGGCGGCGGCTGCTCGCAAGGCGCGACGTCCTGTTGGCGGCACCTCCCCCGCCGCTCGCCACCTCTAGGGTGTCCGGAAGCCACGACGGCAGTCGAGCTGGTGGTACTGGAAAGCAGCAGGGCGAAGCGTCCGTCCGACGGGAGTTACCAGAGACGGAGGAGGCCGAACCCGATGATGATGATGCTAGCGAAGGGTCGGGGCTAGCACCCACGGTGCTGCCCCGGGAGCCGGCGGCGGGCCCGGGGCCGTTGTCAGCAGCGGTTCCCGTAGATGCTTCTGCGGGGGCGACGGTGACGCAGCGGTCTTCGGGGGGAGGGGAAAGACTACCGCCGGCGGAGAAAGCCGGAGGGTGGGAAGAAGGAGCGGAAGGGTCCGTTGTTGGCTCTGCCGAATCGTCGGAGCCTGGGGAAGAGGAGAAGCAGGATGTCAACGAACGCGTGGAAGGGGTTGTGGGAACCCAGAGAGTAGACGAGAAGCCGCCAACGCCGCGGGCGTTCTTGGCTTGCCGCTCGGTCCCCACAATCGGCGTCGTGCGTGTTGGCCCTAGCTGTCTCGAGGAACGGTGGACGCTTGACGCTGCTGCTTCGATGGACTGGGCCGTGCCGGCGCGAAATCGAGGAGGAGTAGAAGCGTTCGGCGTCAGGCTTGACGGTGAAGGGGAGAAGAGGCGAAGCGGCAGTCCAGCGGAGATCGCCGGCGGTTTCGGCGACACGGCACCTGCGGGCAAAAGCGATGGAGGCCGAGGTCGATGCAGTACGGCCAGGGGTAGCTCAGCCCCGAATGATCGAGGAGGGGGCAAGAGGTGCGGCGGGACAAGGCGCGGCAACGAGACCGCGGCGCTGATGGGCGCGGCCAGCTTCGACGGTAGTTTAGAAGTGCCCGAGTCGGATGGTCGAGTCTCGCACGCCACATCGCAGGCAAGCACATCGGCGAGGGGCGTGGGGCAAGCGGTCTCTCCCGAGAGTAACGGCGGCTCTAACGGGCCGGAGAGCGTCAAATCTTGCTCGTACTCTGATGATTGGGAGGGGGAAGAGGAGGAAGAGAAGCTTGGGCACTCGATTTCGGGAGAGCCTCGTGAAGCCTCGAGCACGTTGGCTACCTCAGAGCGCGCAGAGACTGCTGTCCCTGAACTTCCACCGGTGCCTGCCACGTCCGCAGGGGTTTCGGGTACCCCCGGCGGCAGAGACCGCGCCGCAACTGCCCGCCCACAGGAAGCGGGGCCCGGAACAATAGCGCCTGCATCGGAGTCAACGAGCCCGGAGAACAAACCGACCGCGTGCTGCTCAGACCTTAAGGATACCGACCCCCGCCAAGAGGAGGATGACTTTGGTTCGGTGCCATACGGTCCGGGAGCGATGGTTCTGCTCGACCAGATCTCGCCGCGAGCGGTTGGTGGTAGTGGGCAGGTGGCGGTCGAGGACGGCAGATCGCAGAGGAGCTGCGACGAGAGCTTGTCTGCGTCTGGTGGAGTGTGTTTGTCGGGAGAACCGGCGGCGCCGGGCTCCAGGTCGTCCTTATCGTCATCCCCGGTGTCGGCACCGCGTCGCCTTGCTGGTGAGGCGACCACGACTTCGGGGCAACAGCAGCAGCAGCAGCAACAACAGCAGCAGCAACAACAGCAGCAGCAGCAGCAGCAGCAGCATATGTCACCGCCGAGACTGTCCAGAGCACCAACCCTTTCCTCGGTTAGCACCGCAAGCAGCACAAGTCGTAGGTCTTGGGCAGCACCGCTCGTCGCTGCGGGGCCTCCCGCTTGCGGGAGCACTGTGGCTTTCCTCGCGAATGAGCTTTCGGACGACGATGTTTCCGGTTCCGCCGGTGGTTCCGACAACCGACGGCCGGCGACATCGGAGGTCTCGACGGCCACCGGCAGCGGTGCTCGTACTGGTGATGGCGGAGACGTGGACCTTTCGCCAGCCTTCTCTTGGGTCTCCGGGTCGAGGGCGGAAGATCTCCGGTTCGACGAGCGGCGCGACCTCGCCCGTACCCTCTCCGGTGGATGGATGCCCGCGGCAGGGCCCGGAGCGAGCAGCCTGCGAGGTGCGCGGAGGAGTGGCGTCCGGGATGCTGCTGGGGCGTCTTCTGCTCCATGTCTCGGTGATCTTAGTTCACCAGAAATTTGGACGGCTTCCCTTGGCGTTCCTACCGCGGGCCTTCGACCGGCGGGAGGGGCGGGGTCATCCCGGTCAAGCTTGGCGGAAGAGATTGTAGCGGCACAGCAGCCGCCTCTGGGTGCGGTGCAAACGCGGGGGGGTGTTGACGACGGAGCAGGGGGTCGGGTACCACCGTCGTCGCGGGATAGCGTACCTGGAGGCGCGGGGGGTTCGGCGATGCGGCGCGACGTTTTAGGGGGTACGGTTGTTGTGTGGCCTCCTTTGGGGAGCAGGTGTGACGTGCTTCGCGACGAAGAGAGGCGTCCCTCGGTGTCACAACCACAACCACAACGCCAAGAAGAAGGAGAAGGAGAAGAAGACGAAGACGAACAACAACAACAGCAACAGCAACAGCAACAGCAACAGCGGATGATGTCGTACGGCGGCTCTGTGGCCTCGGAAAATCCACCAAGGAGAGAGCAATCGGACAATAGTCTTCAACCAGCATCGGCGCCGCGGGAGCGGCAGTCCCCACCCGTCGATCATCGACAGACCGACGACTCGAACCTGCTTAGCTCGTTCGGCGACAGTGGTACAGGGTTGGTAGTCGTTGGTAACGGCTGCGGTAGGCAAGAGTCGGCGATCCCCGCCCCACTGAGGGTGTCGGTGCGGGGTACTGCAGAAGAACGGGGGTCGCGGTGCGAGCATCTAGTCGGTGATCGTTCGGGCGTGCCAAGGGATGACGGAGGAGGAGGAGGAGGAGAAGAGGGCGATGCCGATAGTCACGAGGGGGTGGTACTTGCCTTTCCGACTTCTGTGAGGGCGCCATCCTCGGAGCTGAGCTGCGTATCGTGGTCCGATCGCGTCGACGACGAGACCGGAGACGCCACGCCTCAGGAACCACCACGCAGTACGAACAGTCTTCGGTCAGACGACGAAGAGGGGGCGGTTGGAACTAGACCCGAAGAATACGGCGATGGCTTCAGCTTCTCCTGTGCCAGCAGCCGCCGGCGATCCCGCGGCGGAAGCGGAGGTGGCGCGGACAGGTCGGAGGGCACGGGCGCGGAGAGAGCGTCGGGTATTGCCCGCATCACCGGGCTGAAGACCAACACCCGACTTGATGTGCCGGCTGTTGGCGAGATGGGTCCGCCGGCTGACGCTTGTTCCGCTCCAGCCGGGGAAGCACGCAGCAAACTCCAGGCCTCGGAGGCGGGAGAGGGTGTTGGCGGGGGGTGTGGAGGCGGTGGAAGTGGGAGTGCCGTTGGTAGCAGCGGGACAAGGAGTAGACGTTCATGTGTCGTCAATAGCGCCGGTAGCGTCGACAGGAGGAGCAGCAGGAGCAGGGGGACAACAAGCAGTGGCGATGGCAATGGCGGTGGAAGTGGCGGCGATCGTATCAACAGCAGGAGCACGACAAGTATCGGCCGCGGCAGTAGGGGTGATAGCTGTGTCAGTGGCGGCGGCGGTATCAACAGCAGGACGGGGACAAGCAGTGGGGGTGTCGGGGGCGGCGGCGATAGTGTCAGCAGCAAGAGGACGACAAGTAGCGGCGATGACAAAGGTAGTGGCAGTGGCAGTGGCGGCGGTGGTGGTAGCAGGGTCATGAGGGCGATATGCAGTGGGGGTGTCGGAGGCGGCGGCGATAGTGTCAGCAGGAGCAGGAGCACAGTAAGTAGCGGCGGCGGCAGCAGGGATGCTAGTAGTGTCAGTGGAGGCGCTGGTATCAACAGCAGAAGGGCGATGAGCGGTGGGGGTGTCGGGGGTGGTGGCGATAGTATCAGCAGCAAGAGAACGACAAACACCGGCGGCTGCAGTGGCGGCGGCAGTGTCAGTGGGGGCGGTGGTAGCAGCTTCAGGAGGGTGATAAGCAGCGAGGGTGTCGGAGGCGGCGGCGATAGTGTCAGCAGAAGCAGGAGGACGACAAGTAGCGGCGGCGGTAGTGTCAGTGGTGGCGGTGGTAGCAGCGTCGGGAGGGCGAGAAGCAGTGAGGATGGTGGAGGCGGCAGCGGAAATGGCAGCGGCAGCAGGAGGACAACACGTAGCGGCGGTGACAAAGGTAATGGCAGTAGCCGTGGCGGCGGTGGTGGTAGCAGCGTCATGAGGGCGAGAAGCAACGCGGATGGCGGAGGCGCCGGCGGTAGTATCAGCAGCAGCAGCAGCAGCAGGAGGACGGGAAATAGTGGCGGCGGCAGTGTCAGTGACGGCGGTGGTAGCAGCGTCAGGAGGGCGATAAGTAGTGGCGGTGGTGGAGGCGGCGGCAGCAATAGCAGCAGCAGCGTCAGGAGGACGACAAGTACCTGCGGTGACAAAGTCAGTGACGGCGGTGGTATCGGCATCAGGAGGGCGATAAGCAACGGGGATGGCAGAGGCGGCGGCGGAAATATCGGCAGCAAGAGGACGATAAGTAGCGGCGGTGACCAGCGTAGTGGCAGTCGCAATGGCAGCGGTGGTGGTGGCAGCGTCATGGGGGCGATAGGCAGTGGGGGTGTCGGAGGCGGCGGCGATAGTGTCAGCAGCAGGAGGACGTCAAGTAGCGGCGGCGGCAGTGGCGATGGCAACAGCAGCGAAAGGTACCGGGGAAGCGTTGTGCTGACATCTGTGTCATCATCGGCGTGTCCTGATCTCCGGAGACCTGGACGGCGAGGAAGGCTAGAGGAACGTCTTTCGGAGGCGTTTTTGCGGCATCACCAACTGCATACCGGCCTCCGGTGAGAAGCATCGGTTTCGTTTACGATGGAACTATTTTAGAGTGTCGAAGAAACGCGCTTTCTGCGCTGGAATTTTCTCAGGCTTGAGCATCGTGCTGTGGTTCGATTTTGATCTCTGCAGCACCCTCACTCATGCGTCACGTCCTGCTTCCTTGGCGTAGTTTCCTACTGGGAATCTCAGATACGTATGCAGATAGTGGTTGTGATGTTTGCTGTCCCAACATTAAATGCGATTATTTTTCCACATCGAGAAACTGGACATCCTCCCTTCAAAGCATTCAAGCAGACATCTCAGCAGCAGCAGAAGCTCCGCTACCTTCCCGACCCGCCCCCCTCCCACCACCGCCCTCCGTTTGCGTTCGTGCAACGTCCGCGCCGTCAGGAAATGGCGCACGCGAGCCGCCGCCACCAGCGCCTTCCGGCGGCGCTCTGCCCCCTCTCTCGCCTCCGCCGCGCTGGCCTTCTCCAAGCGTACGGCTCTCGCCGCGTGGCGTGCCGCGCACGCTCGCCTGCTGTCCCGGAACACGGCGGCGGCAGCGACGGCGGCACGGCTGGCAAGACGGTCGTCCTTGCTGCTCCGCAGGGAGCGTCGGCTGCGCCGCGTGACCCCGGGCGGCGGCGGCGGCGGCGGCGGCGGCGGCGGGGCAGGGGGGGGCAACGCCTCTGTGGGCTTG